TATAGTTAAAATGTCCCACAAACATCTCACATTGGAAGGGTGGGCCTGGTTAGAAGCTTACTGGCAGCAGTGACTTGTAAGACTGTGTTCTTACCTTGACTTCCTGCCTTGTCTCTATGCTTCCTCATTGCCATGTAGTAAACAAATTTCCTTTATCACATTGTCCTCCTGTATCAGTTCTGCTTTGGAACCAATTGACCATGGAATGAGTCCACCGAAACTGTGAGCCAAAAGAAACCTCCCTTCTTTTAAGTTACATGTCTCAGGTATTTTGTCTCTTCAATTGGAAGGTGACTAATACAGCCACCAAGGGACTACATTCTTCTTAACATTATCCAGATCTAAGGGAAGGAACTACTGTGTTCTCTTGAAAATCCATTCTTTGGTATAGAACCATACTCTCTCTTCTCCCGAAGAAAGAGTATACTGTACAGAGAATGTAGTCATTTACAAAGACATCTAAACCACAGTAAAAAAGACCAAGCCCTTTTAGGCTCTATGTGTGTTGTGGTTGTGTGCACATGTGTAATTTTTTTCAGTCATGGTTAATAATAAAAGACACACAAAGTCAAGAGAGTGACTTTTAAGTACAAACTGTATTGCAAACATGCTAAGCATTTTAAATGCATGTTCAAATAATTCTCAGAATAACTTTATAATAGTCATTGATGTGATTCTAATATAAAGATTCCTGAATTGAGAGTGTGCTAACCTCATCAATAGGTTACTCTATTGATGAATTCTCAGGTAAACACACTGGTTATGATGTTCTATCTTGATTGTCAACTTGACTGGATTTTGAAACATTTAGGAGAATATTATACTTCCAGGTGGATTTGTGGAGGTGTTTCCAGAGATGATTGGTGTGTAGATCAGCAAAGTATGGGGAAGATCTGCCCTGATTATGAGTGGTACCATTCAGTTCAATTACAGCCTGGATATAATAAAAAGGAGGAAATCGGCCTGAGCTAACAAGCTCATTTCTGCTTGAATGAATGCATCTTTTTCTATCACTACAAGTATTGTATCCAGCTTCTTCAGTGAAATTTCAACTCCCTAGGTCATTTCCAGTCCTCCAGCCTTGAACTGGCAGCAGATGTTTACTCTTATTGTGGGATTTCCACTCTTCTAATTTATTGGACTGAGCACTTACTAGGTCCTCTGATTTTCCAGTGTGCACACTGCCATTGTGGAATATCGATAAGGCTATCTAATAAACTAATTTATATAAAGTTTGTCAAAAAATGTATATACCCTTTAGAAAAAGAAAAATAGTACAATGATTTTTCATTAAAGGGTATTACCCTTGTATGGGGGACCCTAGAGAATACTGAATATCTAACAAAACCCACTCCACTGACAGTCTTAGGGAAGAAATCAAAAGTGCATGTGCAACAATCTCAATGACCAAGGTTACTCAAGCAGCAGTGGGTTGTACTAATAAATGTCTAAAAGCTGATGGCCACCACTTTGAGCAACGCTTGTAATTGTAGATGCCAAAGGTAACTTGTATTAATCTCATTATGTCTCACTAAATTAAGCATTAAAATATTTATGCAAGTTTTTCTTTTCCTGAAGTGTGTATATATTTCTCTGTGTCTCTCTGTCTTTCTGTCCCTGTCTCTCTGTCTCTGTCTGTCTGTATGTCTGTCTGTCTCTCCCTCTCTCTCTGATTCTGTTTGATTCTATAGGGAATCTCAACAAATATACTCACTTAACCATCCCATATCTTGCCTTGAAGATTGCATTGTAGCACCAAACCACAACACAGATTCTCAGTTAGAGTCCAGGTAAATCAGTGCCATTATAGTGGCACATGGTTAAGGACATGAGCAATGAACAAACACAAAATACTCTTTAAACTCTAAAGTGATAACAAAGTAAGATTTGATTATTTAGAAAGCACATCAGGCCATAAATAATGCTGCTCCTTTTACACCATGAGGGTAATAATCTGCCAAGCACTGCATTGCTCATAGACATTGTCATAGTTTTTTGCAGGACCTATACTTCCTGTCCCTTACTCAACAACCCCATGCCTTCAGAACCTTTATGACAGTACTTTTCACACCAAAACATAATGCCAAACTAACATAACATTTTATCCTAGCTAAAATGTCACTAGCAGCCAAAAAAAGTGTTTTTGACTATGAGTCTTGTTTTTGTATCAACTATTTTAGTTGAAAAACGATTTAATCATTGATTTCACCCAATTATTACTCCCATCAAACCCAAAGTATATATCTTGCACAAAATGCTTTATTAGCACATTTAAAGTTAGCTCAAGTATAGTGAATCATAACCTATCAAATAAACTAGCAAACAGTAATTTAAAATATAAATTTCCTAACTGCCTAAGAAAACACAGATCTATTTTTCCTCTTCATTATGAGTAAAGAACAATTAGGTGCTATTAAAACAAGAAAATATTTTTCTTCAAAGATGAAAATGCAAAGCTTGTTTCCTATAAAATTAGGAAGCTATTTATCAAATTGCTGTATTTCTCTGACATTAAAGTACATGGGTTGGATCGTGTTCATTTTGAGATAGAATTTTATTTGGTCTGGATGATTGCTGGGATAACAAGTTCTTGGTTAACAATCATTCAATTCAAACATCACACTTTGAAGAATAATGAACTGGTAGTTAGCAAAATGGCTCATGAGTTAGATACGCTAGGTTTATATCTGGGCCTACAACTTAACTACAGTTGTGTATGACCTTGTATGAATATTTGGTTCTCTCTCTACTCATTCTCATCTGTGAAGTAAAACATCGATAATGTTATAGAAACATATAAGAATCATTTGATACAGTGCTTGACACACAAAATAAAATTTGATGAAGAATAAGTAAAAATTAATGATATTGATTTGGTTTGGACTATATTTCTTTTGTTGAAGCACTTGGATTGAAACTCACGGTGTAGTGTTAAAAATCTTCAGTCTTACCAAATAGTATATGTAAATGTGTTCGTGGGTAAGTATGCATATCCACTATATCACCACTATTTCATCAGATTTAAATGTGTATTCACTACCTCAAAGTTGTGTAATTAATTACATGCATACATAGTTTTATAGCTGTAGTATCAACTCACAGCTTTAAATATTGCATTCATACTTGACCTTTATGTAAAAAAGCATAAGAATGACTGATAAGGATGAGCCCGCTTATGATCTCACAAGGCAGTTGTGAATGGGACATTTAATGCAAGCTTTTTGGTGAAGGACCAAATCTTAGGGCTGACTCAGAATTCAGAAGCTACAGGAAAGTTTTGTCTTCATGAAAAAACAACTACTGAGCAATCTCTGCTGTCACTATAGCTGCTGCAGACTCAATAGCCACTCAGGCCCCTGGCTCAAAAAGATTTTAACTAGCTAATGGTGCTAACAAATTTACAGGAGTAAGAGTTGACTATCAGGAGGAGAAAGTTTTTCCAGACAAAGAAAATAGTTTCTGAATAGGTCTTACCATGAGACATAATGTGGTGGGAAAAGATATTGTAAGAAGGTCATTGTTGGAGTGTAACTGGCTAAATGTCATCAAACATGAGACAGGGCAGATTCAATAGACAGAGAGGCAGTTACAGGACCTTGCCAGATCTCGACCATGCTAAGAAGATTTGTATTGACTTTCAGAGGATTTGTCTGGATTGAGAAGGCACTGATATAACCAGATTTTAAAGCATCATGCTAGCTTTGGTAACCAAGATCTGGAAAAGACAGAATTGACACTGCCAAGAGACCTAGGTAGTTCAAGACAATAAAGGCAGAGTCGGTTTGAAGAGGGTGGCGTAGAGGCAGTGGAAAACCTTAAAGGATGTTAATCAGGGAATTTGGAAAGTAAGTCTGTTATTTTAGAAACATATAAAAAATTCTGTAATAAATTCAGTTGAAAACCTAAGTACATGATGAAAATTATGAAGACCTGCATTAAGACTAATAGGCTGAAGAAGTCTGGATTTAAACAATGTTTAAAAATGAAAATACTTTTATAACCAAGTTTTGAGTGACCCCCAAGATTCAGTAGTATCAAAAGAAAAGAACATGAAAAAGGTAAAAGAGACTCAAAGGTCTTAACCTTAAGTAAGAGGCTTATGATTTGCAGCATGGCTTAGCGGATACAGTCAATATATTTTACAATTCAATAGGCTGGTATAAGTCTTCCTTTAGTAGTCCCACCTTTTTTCAAGGTGATAGTGGTTTGCATTATACCAAAAATAATATCATTCAAGTGAGTTTCCAAATGTTTTCATAAAAGGGAATTGTGTTCTGATCAAGAGGTTGATATTTAGTGTTTAAAAACCAGAACTCAAATGTCACATTTAGTCAACTATAACTGATATGTGATTGTACTGTCTGAATGAAATTTATCTTGTCAGCAGACAGTGCCTGAGTCTATAAACCAAAATGAACCAAGAGAGCATCACTGGCTATCACAAGGTTTAGCCAACTGAGACCTAAAGCTAAAGAATCAAATCTTATGAACTGAAACACATTAGGAGTCAATAGGTCAATGTAGTGTTGCGCTATTTGCTGTAATGGCACTAAGCAATCATACGGATGGTTGGCAGAGAAATGTACATCTGAATCGCTCTTGTAGAATCATCCTGAATTTGTTTGGTTTGAGCTAGCTAGAAGAGGCCCTGGGTAATGCCTCTAAAGGAAATGCTGAGAATTCAGAGGAGACAATGCCCTGGGTCTATCTTCATTGCAGAAAGCCAGATGGCAATTAGCCTGGAAATGTCTTAGGGATATACCCACCCCCTAAAGTTTGAAGAGAAACATGTGCCACAGGGGATAGAACAGATGCTGAAGATACCCTGCATGTCTGGTTTTTCATCTCATGTGTTTTCTGGCTTCCTGATTTTAGGAGAGTGAGCTGAACCAGATTTTCATTTCTGAAGTCATAATAATGATTGATTTTAGCATAACATAAGGTTTAAATAAGCCAATACACAAAATTCATATGGACAACTGATAAGAATATAGGTGAACATTATGACTTTATTTAAAGTGCACATTTGCCAGATATACTGGTTATATTCACTATAAAGAGTTCATATAAGTACAGAACATAGCTTTTAAATTTTATTTTTTTTTAATTTTAGTACATAACACATAAACTTTATGTTCCTTGTGGGGAATTGGTACATATACACAGCACATCATAATTATTTGTCATCTCCTTTGCTCCGTCCACCTCCATATCTTGCTCTTCTTCCCATTTGAGAAAGATCTCTCTTCTTATTATTATCATGTTTATTTTACTACTCATAATTTTGGTTTCTCATGTAACAATGAAACATTTAAGCTTGTGTGTCTAATTTACTTCACTTAACATTGTGGTTCAACAAATGACTCAAGTTCATCCTACTTTATAGCACAACAGTATTCACATATTAATTCTTTTCTGATGCTTATCCCTCTCTTTTTCTTCCCTTCACTTCTTGATCATATTCTTCCATCATCTTGGTTAGCAATGGCTTGAAATTTTAACATATATAAAATCCCCTTGCTCTGTATTCTACCTTTCCCAGTAATTCTAACTCATGGGTACAGAGCAGTACTCAGAAATCTACATTTCATAACATCCTCGGTGAATGATGCAGTTGAGACACAGACTGATGGCTTTGAGAGGGTCATGTAAGGGCTGGGGGAGCTATTCTAGGACACAGAACAGCATTCCTGGAACAGCTAAAAATATAGGACTTGAGTTCCACTTCAAACACACTGCCAGAAAGGGATCACATTCTCCAACTTGGCCCATAACCTGTAAAGGAAAGAAAAATATTCTTATCAGGGACTAGACATCAGGTTTTCCTCAGAGAGCCAAACATCACTGACATTGGAAACCATGTACTGCACAGTTACCACGTACTCAGATTTAAGACAAAATCATCAGAAGTTTCCCTTTAACCAAGTATGCTTAATTTAGGAAGGATTCCCTATAACAGAGTATATTTAATTCAGGAAGGATCAAGGCTCATTTAAGCCCAGTGGGTGAGCTTTCAGGAACACATAAATCAAATATTCTAGTGTGCAGACATACTTTTTTGCTTAAATTCATAATTTTATGTTCTGTAGCCTTCATTGCTATCTTATAATTTCTAAAATGTGAAGTAAGACTTTTCTCATTACTCCATCACTTAACATTACTTTTGTTCAGTTCTGTACCAAAAGCTCATATTAAAAATGATGATCCAATCTTCTTTGTACAGGTCAAACATTTTATACACTGTTCAAATACAACAGTAAGTACAATAACATTCTATGTGAATTCCAGAACTCTTCATGTGCTCAGGGAATTCTGTAGCTCTGTGCATTTACCAGGACAGAAAACTTCCTAGTCCAGCCACATTTACTGAGTAAATCAACCCGTGTCATTCATAGGCATTTTTCATTCATCTTGCTTTTCAAGATGTGTGAATATATTAAATTACTTAGTTCTGAGTGGTGGTAAATCATGGCTCTGCACGCTCGAGTTCCACTGAAACCACTGACAAGAAAACCTTATAAAAGGAGATCACTTGGTAAAATAATCTTGTTCCAGATATGATTTGGGGGGAGCCAGAGACCATTAGGAGAACAAAGGAGGAGAGGAAGATTTGATCATGCACCAGAAGGCAAAAATTGAAAGGAAAAAGAAAGAAATGGATGAAGAAAAGGAACCTGCTAGGATATTTCTTTTAAAATAGTTTTGTCATAAGAGAGAATAAGAAAAGATTTCTTCTAAGTCATAATCCTTTGGGTACAAAACTAAACTGGTCTTCATAAATAAGAATGTAGGAGTTAGGAAAGAAATAGTTTAAAAATTATTAATCGCTATTTTCAAATTCCAGTGCACTTTCAAAAGCTCCAAGAAATAACCACAAAAATATCTCTCTATATATAGTACTTTTGGGGGCCCCAAAGAGAAATCAAGGAAAAAGTAATCAGAACTTTTAAGATTAAGTTCTAAGTGCCCTCAGACAATCAGAAAATAGAAATTTCTTCTCTTTAAAGTTTTATGTAGTACGGAACCAAACTGAGTACAATCAGGTAAAGAACATAAAAGACCTGATTTTGAGTCAAGACCAAATTTCAGGGATAGGGAGGAACAGCACAGAAAATGGGAGAAAGAAAATCATCAGCCTCTTTTCAGAAACAATCTAATTTACCATATCTACAGCCTTTGTAGTTGGAAGATCTTTCCTCAAGGGAAGAAAATGAAGAAAAAAACCATGTTTCTTTTTTAGGTTTTTAAAATTTTATTTTTAAATGACAATAACTGTACATGTTTATAAGATGAAATGTGATATTTTGCATGATGATATACTTAAATGTGAAATGGTTTATTTCTTTTAAGAAAACTATTGGTGAAGAGATGCACTAAGCTTCATTGTAGTTTTTATATAGTGCACTCTGCTAAACTCTGTTTTCATGTGTCTTTCTCCAGTCGCATTTGTTGCTTACAATAAAGTTCATCTAGCTCAAGTAGTAAGTCTTTATTGTACCTATTTTGTGCCCTATTTCCCCACCATCAATAGGATTGTAGCACTAAATGACCCACTCTGTATATATCTCATGCCCAGTCATAAGAAATGCAAAAACCTTAGGATCCCACAAGTCCAACTTTGCAGGTATGTAGCAAGAACTTTGATATTAAGTTTATCCTACCCTGTGTGTCAGATATGTTCATAAGGCTAACTTATTTTATATCCACTTTCTTCACGTCTGTTTCATCTTATCTATACAACATATTGGACTACTGTTTTCCTAGCCCTTGTGTATCACTGTGTTTGTATAATGCTACCCAGCGATTTAAACCATCACACAACCCACAATCTATAACAACCTATGTCCCCTCCTGCACCCTCACCAAAAACAAATCCATCTATGGGTCAGTCATGTCTTACCACTTAGTGTTCTGTCAATGAGTTGCGTGACTTTATATCTCTGCACCTATGCATGTGTTTTCTCTGTTTATGAGTCTAACTTCAGCATATCCTCCAAAATTCAACTCAAGCATAGCATCCCCTGGTAGCTTTTCTAGGTGCCTCCTTCTCCAAATGACTCTAAACTCTGTGCCCTAAAGATCTGCTGTTTATAGACCTGCAGTTCCTTTCCACCATTTGTTTACTGGGTGTCACCCTTGAGCAGTTCAACCAGTTGATTGATTATTATGTTACCACTTTAGCAATTCTTTGTATATCTGCTTCCAGGATAAACACGTAGCATAGTCCATTTAATTTGGAATCTCAGAGAGATGATTGACTATTTTTTAAAAGTGAAAACAGTCTCCAGGAGAAAAAAATCATTTGCCTAAGCAATACAAATAGTAAATGGAGGACCTAGCTGCCTCAGACTGCCACTGCTGGGCCCACCCCTGAGCCTGGAAAACCAAGGAAGCCCCTGGCACAACCTAGCCACCTTGGTCTGCCATCAAGGGCCTGTCCCTTAGGGCACTTCCTGGACCTAGTACTGCAGTTGATCCTTGGATCCAATCCCATCTCTCAGAATCCTGGACCAAAGTGGACCACTGTGCTGGCTGGATGCAAGACTCAGGAACCCCTCAGCCAAACAGAAGACCCCAACAGGCTCCAGTCAATATGGTGAGTTTGCCCCTAAAAATAGACATCTGCAGTGGGTAAATAGGAGCAGAAGTGAAACTCCCTCTAACTGTTAGACCTTGATGAACCTGACAAGACAGTGGGTAATCCCCTCCTCCACACAGAGAACATCAGACAGGTTGGGGAATGTGCCAAAAAGCCTCCACTAACTTGGAGAAAACTAAAAGAGCTTATGACCCCCCAGTGACACAGTAGGGCCTCAGCTGACAACACTATAGATGGGGAGATTTGGTGATCTGTAACAACCTGAAGACATAGCAACAGCAGGAACTCAGAGTTGACCTACATCAATACTTCTGGGTTAATTAGCCCAGAAAGAATATAGGACTCACCAACAGGCCCTATAGTAGAAACTCAGGTGACTGGCTCTCCTCTTCATTGTGGTACCCAGCACTTGGATAAAGATCGACCACACAATAGAACCATACAATTCACACTACAGCCAGTTGAGACTGTTGAGACTGAAAGACAAAATATTAACCCAAAAGGTGAAAATGACAAAAAGAAAAGGCAAAATGCAATCTCAAACATCCAATCCATCAGGAGCAAGAACAGATGACATTTACATAGAGGACTTTAAAAGTCATACACTAAGAATCTCTGAAAAGATAGCAAATGAAGTAAAGTAGCAAATCTATGGGACTATAGAGGAAATTAAATTAGAAATAATATCTTACATAAAGACAGAAATAACAACATTAGTAAATAAGTTGCTCAACATAGCTAGAGAAGAAATAGATTTAAAAAATACAAGAGCATGGGAAATTGATTAAAACTTTGAATGAACAATGCAGAAAACAAGCAGAATCCATTAAACAAATTTATATCCAAGAAATAAAAATTCTACTGAAAGCTGGCAAAACCATTTAAATGAAGCTGAGGATAGAATTTCAGACCTTGAAGACAGAATCACAGCTGGCAATTGTAAAAGGGTACAATTTATAAAAACAACAAAGCAGCATGAAACGACAATCTAGATGCTTCAAGATTATGCCAAGAGAAACAATACAAGATTAATAGGCATCAGTGAAGAGGCAGGAGTCAATGAAAATGACATAACTAAACTATTGACAGAAGTAATGGCAGAAAATTTCCCACACATAGGGAAAAAACCTGATATACAAATAAGTGAGGCATACAGAATACCAAACAGTCACAACCAACATAGATCTATACCCAGACATATAATAATCAAGATCCCAGACATATAGCGTAAAAACAGAATACTAAAATCTTCAGAGAAAAGACACAACTCACCTATCAAGGAAAGCCTATTTGAATCACGGCAGACTTTTTAGCACAAGCCTTCAAGTTAAGATAAGCTTGGAGTGAAGTATTTCAAGCCCTAAAAGAAAACAACTTTCTTGGGTTGTTGACCCTTGGATCCAATCCTATCTCTCAGAATCTTGGACCAAAGTGGACCACCGTGCTGGCTGGATGCAACCCAGACTGATGTACCCAGAAAAAGTGTCTTTCAAATTTAATGGAGAAACAAAATACTTTCGTGACAAAGAACAAGTGAAGAAATTCATGTCCACCAAGCCAACCCTAGAAAGAGTACTGAAAGACCTGGTACATAGAGATAAAAATGACCACAATCCCCAGAACCACAACAGAAAGAAACTACCAGGCTGGACAAGAAATTAAACAAGGGAGAAAAACAGGAAACCAACAATAGGAACACAAGATGGCAAAATCAAGCCAGTACATATCAGTGGCACCCCTAAATGTAAATAGGCTCAATTCACCTCTTAAGAGAAATAGGTTGACAGAATGGATCAAGAAACAGGATCCCACAATATTCTGTATACAAAAAACACATCTGACTCAAAAAGAAACCCATAGATTAAAAGTCAAAGGGTAGAAAACAGAATTCCATGCAAAAGGAACACAGAAAAAAAGCAGGAGTAGCTATTCTGTTTGCAGACAACGTGAACTTCAAACCTAAAAGAATTAAAAGAGATTTTTAAAAAGGCCACTACATACTTGTAAGTGGAAAACTACAAGAAGAACTAACAATTATAAATATATATGCACCAAATACAGGAACACAACCCACTATATAAGACAAATACTAATGGACATGAGAAACCAAATACATAAGAACACAATTGAAATAGAAGACCTTAACACCCCACTGTCACAAAGAGGTAGGTCAACTAGACAAAAATTCAGCAAAGAAATAATAGAACTGAATTATAACTGTGAGGGAATAGACTTAGTGGATATTTACAGAGTGTTCCACCCAGCCACATCAGAATATACATTCTTCTCAGCTGTACATGGGACATTCTCCAAAATAGATCATATATTAACCCATAAAGCATTCTTAACTAAATGCAAAGGAAGAGAAATTATCCCATGCATAATATCTGATCATAGTGCATTAAAATTGGAAATCAATGGCAAAAAAACCCCACAAAACCTGCATAAATACATGGAAATTAAATAACAACCTTCTGAATAACCAATGGGTTACTGATGAAATTAAAGAAGAAATAAAACAATACCTACAATACAGTGAAATGCAGATATAACATACCATAACCTATGGGATGCAATGAAAGCAGTCCTAAGAGGGAAATATATAGCAATAAATAGTCACTTCAAGTAAATGAAATGAACACAAATAAATAACCTAGTGCTACATCTCAAGCTTCTAGAAAAGGAAGAGCAAGTCAAACTCAAAGCTCATGGGAAGGAGGGAAGTGTAAAGATTAGAGCAGAAATTAATGCAATTGAAACTAAAAAAAAACAATATAAAGAATTAATGAATCAAAGAGCTGGTTTTTTGAGAGAATAAACAAAATTGATAAACCCCCAGTAAACCTTATCAAGAAAAAGAAAGAAAAAACTCAAATCCATACAATAAGGACTGAAAAGAAGGGAATTACTACAAATCCTATGGAAATTCAAAAGATCGTGAACACCTACTTTGAAAATCTCTATACACATAGGGTGAAAAACACAGAAGAAATGGACAGATTTCTAGGAACATATGAACTACCAAAGCTCAATCAAGAAGATATAGCAATTTTGAATAACCCAATTTCAGCTACTGAAATAAAAAATGTGATCAAAACTTTACCAACAAAGAAAAGCTCAGGTCCTGAGGAATTCTCAGATGAATTCTATAAGAAATTCAGAGAAGACTTAATGCCAATTCTCTTTAAACTCTTCAGTGATTGAAAGAGAAGCAATCCTTCCTAACTCATTCTTGGAGACAAGTATCACTATGATACCAAAACCAGAGAAAGACCCAACGAAAAGGGATAACTATAGACCAATCTCACAATGAACACTGAGGCAAAGATTCTCAATAAAATATTGGCAAATAGAATGCAGCAAATCATCAAGAAGATTATACACCACAACCAAGTGGGACCTATTCCAGGAATGCAGGGATGGTTCAACATATGCAAATCAATAAAGGTAATACAGCACATCAACAGAGCCAAAACCAAAAATCACACAGTCATCTCAATATATGCAGAAAAAGCTTTCAATAAAGTCCAATACCTTTTCATATAAATTTCCTACAGAAACTCAAAATAGACAATATGTACCTCAATCTTATAAAGGCCATCTATGACAAACTAACAGCTAACGTTATACAAGATGGACAAACACTGAAAGCCTTCACTCTGAAATCAGGAACAAGGACAAGGATGTCCACTATCACCACTCCTATTCAATATAGTTCTGGAAATATTAGCCAGAGCAATCAGATAAGAGGGAGACATAATAGGAAAAGAAGAAGGTAAATTATCATTATTTGCAGATCAGATGATGCTCTACATAGAAGACACCAAAAGCTCAATTAAAAGACTAGTAGAGGTAATAAAGAAATTCAGCAGCATAGCCAGATACAAAGTCAACACTCAAAAAATCAATAGCATTCCTGTACACAAACAAAAATCTCACTGAGAGAAATTATGGAAGTATTGCCTTTCACAATAATATCTAAAAAATAAAATACTTAGGAATCAACCTAACCTAGAATGTAAAAGACCTATATGCTGAAAATTATACTACTCTAAAAAAGGAGATTGAAGAGGGTATTAGAAAATGGAAGGATATTCCTTGCTCTTGGTTAGGAATAACCAACATGGTGAAAATGGCCCTAGTCCCAAAACTGTTATTCAGATTTAATGCAATCCCATCAAAATACCATTAACATACTTTATAGATCTAGAGAAAACATTTCTGAAATGCATCTGGAAACAGAAGAAACCTAAAATAGCAGTTCTGGGCAACAAAGGCAAGACAGAAGGCATCTCAACTCCTGACTTGAAACTATATAATAAAGCCACAGTAATAAAATCATCATGATACTGGCAGTTGGCAAAGAAATAGACCTGAGGATCAATGGAAGAGATTAGAAGATACAAACACTACTACAAAGGCAGTCAGCCACCTGATATTTGACAAAGAACTAAACATGTTCACTGGGAAAAAAAAAGATAGCTTCTTTAATAAATGGTGTTGGAAAAAATGGCTTTCCACATGCTGAAGACTGAAAATACACCCATGCCTATCACCATACACTAAACTAAAGTCAAAATGGATCAAGGATCTAAATATTAAAACAGAAACACTAAATCTACTGGAGGACAAGGTAAGTAAAAATCTTGGAGACATAGGGGTAGGGAGAAAATTCATGAATAAAATGCAAACTACATGGGAAATACTTCAAAGAATCAATAACTGGGATCTCATATTACTAAAATGCTTTTGCACTTCAAAAGAAATCACCAACAAAGTCAAAAAGAAAACCAACAGAATGGGAAAGTATTTTAGCCAACAATCCCTCAGACAGAGGACTTATATCCAGAACATACAAAGAACTGAAAAACATCAAGCCCCCCAAATTCAAAGACCCTCTCCAAAAATGGGCATTGGAAATGAACACACAGTTCTCAGATAAAGATATTAAAATGGCAAATACATATATGAAGAAATGTTCACCATCACTGGTCATTCAAAAAATGCAAATTAAAACAGCATTGTGATTTCATCTCATCCCAGAAAGAATGGCTGCCATCAAGAAAACAATTGATAACAAATGTTGGCGAGGAGGTGGAGAAAAAGGAACACTGCTCCACTGTTGGGAGTGCAGACTGGTGCAATCACTGTGGAAATCAGTGTTGAAAAAACTAGAATTGGAAGTTTCTTTAAATCTAGCTAGTCCTTTCCTGGGTATTTCCCCAGAAAAATTGAAAAGGTCATGTCACAGTGATACCTGTGCACCTATGTTCATAGCAGCACAATTTCTGATAGCTAAATCTTGGAAAACCAAAATGCCCATCAACCACAGAGTGGATGAAAAAATGTGGTATATAATAAAATACTATTCAGCTATAAAAAAGATGATCTTGAGGCCTTTATAGGCAAATAGAGGCAACTTGAGAGTATCCTCATTAGTGAAATAAACAAGACTCACATGAATAAATATCACATT